GGCTCTTGATAGCAGCTATAAATGGTGCAGTTCCCCTCTGTGACACTTAGGTGTATGCATTGGGCTGGACTCCTGATAGCAGCTTTGGTTTGACATTGGTATCCATCCCCGACCGTTGCTGCCAAGCCAGTTTAGGGTCATGGTGGGCTTCTAGCACAGAGTGGAACTGCCTATTATCTCTAAAGGGCTTCAGAGGTTACCAGTCTTTATAGATGCAGGGTACCACATCTCTGCCTTATGGAGCAGCTGGTGGCTTTGAACTAACTGTCAATCTTTTGGTTTGCAACTGAGCACTCCACTGTTACGTCACCCAGAATTTCTTGTAAGACGTAGACACAGGAGACAGACCATTATCCTTCCTCTGTCATCAGAAATTACTCTCTTGCTGGCCCTTCCTGCCTCTTCTTCCTTTAAGATTCACTGCTTTTGAGTCAATTCTGACTCATGACCCTAGCCTCCAGGTTTCCAGGCTGTAAATCTGTACAGGAGAAGGCTGCCTCATTTGTGTCTTGCCCTAGTGGGCAGCTTGTGAGTTCGAACTGCCAACCCTTTGTTGCCAGCCTAGCACTGAACCGACGATGTCACCAGGATTCTGGGTTAGATTCTTCCTTTAGACTACCCCAAATCCCTTTTCCTCTGCTTTATGTGTAGGACAGAACTACAGATTTCTGGGGTTTGGAGCATCTCTTGCTCCCCAGTCCCTAAATGCACTTTCTCTTCTCTTTATTCCTAAATCATTTATCCACCTCATTGTTGCACTATAGCTCATTCCTCCAGCATCATTTGTTAAAATGTGGATGCCTGGAGCTCTAGTGGCCTAGTGGTAAGACTCTGCACTGCAATCCCGGAGACACACGGTTTGAATCCACCAGCTGCTCTGCAGAAGGATGGACAATCTCCTCTTGTGTGATTACTGCCTCTGAAAATTGACTGGAGGCTCAGCTATGGGTCAGTCCCAACTTGATGGCATAAAACACGCTTAATTATAACAACAAAACAACAGCAAGAGGCTTAAAAAATAAATACAGATCCCTGCCGAGCCCTCAGTGTGTCTATTGGTCCTGAGCTGTGGCATTCCTCCATGCACCACGTTTGCTGTGCTGTGTTCCTTCTCTCTTTCCTCCAGCTCCTTTGAGGATAGGGACCGTGCCTTAGGAAGATACACTTGATATTTCAGCCCAACTCAAGCAGCGAGTGCATTTTTTGGTGAGAACAATGTGTTTAACATTTGCCAGTCCAGTAATGTTTATGTACCATACTGTGACACTGGACTCTCCTGTCCAGCCACCACCACAGTGCTTCTTTTCTGATTGTTCCACCACCTTTACTAGAATAACCCAGCACCCCCAAAGCAATGATTCTCTTCCCCTTCTTGCCCCCCACCCTATGATCACTAAAAGCAGCAGGCCTTTGAAATACTGTTGAGGGTCACTGTGGGCTAAGTTTAAAAGTAGATGCTGAGGCCTGGAAAGTTTTTACTTCCCAAAGCAGAAGATGAGGTAGCTGTCTTCCTTTTTCAGAGATGTGATGTGCGAGAAATGTGACTGCTCACGTGACAGCCTTTTAGAAAGACAAGGCATCCATCACATGCCAAGTTATTGTCATCCCCTTCCTTTCTGGGTCCGTCCTACCTGTTCTCTTCTCATGTTCCTTCAGAGACCATCTTTCCCATTTATTTCTGCCCTTTCTGCCCCAATGCTCCTGTTCTTCTCTTCCTTCCTCAGAGGAGGAGTAAAGCATTAGTTTAAATCTGTCAGGCTCCTTATCTCTTATTTCTGTCACTTCCCAGTATGTATCTGAAAGGCTCCATTGTCTCTCTCTGCATGTGTCTCCCTCTATATATACCTGCGTGTGTAGCCTGTCAGGGAGAATCTGCCTGTGCTCCTGACAGCAGCACCCGCTCTCTGTGTATTCACAACAGCTTCTGCTCTGTGTGTGTCCTTTGCAAATTGTAAGCATTTCTGATCATAGGAGAAGTATTTTCTTAGATTAAAGCCAGTAACGGAGCACCTCCTCCATCATATCCTATGGGTACAATCAGGCTCCCAAGAAAATAACAGAATCCTCACACCTCAATTTTTGCCCTTTGTTTAGACACTGGCTTGACAGCACCATAGAATCAGTGTAAGAGTGGTGTTCTTGGTGACGGGACTGGCACTTTGGCTGGTGTGAAGGTAGGGGGAGAAAGGACCAAGAGCTTAGTTTCCTGACTGCTGGTGCCAAGAGTGTTGACTGTGGAGCCGAGCAAACTGAAGCTGTGAACAATCTCAATCTCTTCGCCATCCATCCTG